GATTGAGAAGCAGAGGATATTAGTGAAGAGGATCGTACAGAACCTGTGCAAGCACGGCTTTTAATGGTAGGCCTATGTTTTTTGTTTGTTGTTGTCTCATACTTTTAGGTACGCTGTTATTTGTAAATGCTACGGCTTCTGTTAGCTTTTAATATACGGTTTTATCCTGATTAAAGCTTTAATACAGTACGGCAACCACATGCGCGCCCATGTTTAACGCTTCTCATAGCTATGTGTAAATAAGTGTATAATTGGTACAGTTCATTGTAGGAGCTGAGATGAATGTGAGAGAGAGAGAGAGAGAGAGAGAAGCAGAGCGTGTGCAGTGCAGGGCGATGCAAGGAACAGTATTGAGAATCAAATGAAAGAGTTCAAGTAGGTAAGTAGTGCTGTGCGGTATGACCAAAAATTTATATCACGGTATTTTTCAAAATTATACCGGTTTCACGGTACATGGCGGTATTATTTTATTCTCACTTTAGATTTGATGAAGGTGAAAGAAGAAAACGAAAAACTGAATGACTTTGACGAGAAGCACCACGACTATCAGAATTCCTCCGATTTCAATTCTGAAGAAAAACCTTTTAGTTGCTCACAGAGCGATGAACATTTGAATCAAGAGCCTTCATTCACCTGCCCTGAATGTGGAAGGAGTTTCACTCAAAAACAACATCTGACCAGACACATGAGAGCTCACACTGCAGAGAAGCCGTTCACATGTGTGGAGTGTGGAAAGAGTTTCACACACCACGAAAAGCTAAATACGCACATGAGAATCCACACCGGAGAGAAGCCGTTCACGTGTCCTCAGTGCGGAAAGAGATTCTCGCAGAAATCAAACCTGAACACTCATTTGAGGATTCACACTGGAGAAAAACCCTTCGCATGTCATCACTGCGGAAAGAGCTTCACATGCAAAGGAAACCTTAATATGCATGTGCGAATTCACACCAGAGAGAAGCGGTTCACATGCCCTCAGTGTGGACTGAGTTTCACTGAGAAAAAAGTCCTTAAGAATCACATACGAATTCACACTGGAGAGAAACCCTTCACGTGTCTTCAGTGCGGAAAAAGCTTCACTCGGTCAGGATCCCTGAAAGTACACGAGCGACTGCACACCGCAGCGAAGCCGTATCACTGCGCTTCATGTAGGAGGAGATTCAGTTTGGTTTTCTTTCATATCTGCACATCGTCTTACTATCAGCCTTGATTATTCTAGTCTGTTAATTAAAAGGCTACTTGTATGTATATCTGCTAATTGTTTATGAGATGCATTCATGTAAGAGGCTGACAATTACCTGAACTTAAACTTGTTTAATTGGTGACACTTGGCCTACATAAAAAAAAATTTTTTTGAATATGGCAATATATTTCCATCTAAAAAAATCTCACAAAATCTGTAATTTAAAGTTTTTATTTGGATATGGGAACATTTACATGTTAAAATCTTTATTTGAATTTGGCAACATTTTCTGCAATATTTCTGTGATTAAATGACTGACAGCCAATCATAGTTCCCTTTCAGTCGGTCAATCTCGACGTCACGTCTGTAATTACAGACGAATTGGGATCTCGCTTAGAGAGACAAATCCACTTTGATTGTAAACTAAACGAGCCAATGCACATTGGCATGCGATGATTGCATCCAGCTGCCGCTTATCGCAGCGCGAGTATAACTTGGCAGCAGGTGCAACGCATACTCAGCTTTTCGCTTTGGAGCCGAGCGATCACATCGTTTTGCTCCGGACTACTCTACTGAGAGAAGAAGACTGAACGTGTTCAGCGTGCTCTTTGGAGCTCTTGGTGTTGGCAGTATGGCGCTTCAGCGGTGGTGATTTCCCCGTGTCGAGTGGGTTGCACACATCAGGGTTCACTACCCCTGTTTGTGTTGCAACGGCCATCTCCTCTGTTCAGCACGCTGAAAGAGCTTTTTCCCTAAAAGAGCATTCATGTGTGCGTCTTTTTAAAGACGACATTGCGTCTGGCAAACGCGACGTTGTGTTTTTGTAAAGATGTCTTGCTACAGACAACGTATCACCCGTGCGTTTCTGGATGCGGTCGTTACCTGGTGTTGGGTGATGGTCACGATCGCTGCCTCGCGTGTCTGGGCATTAAGCACACTGAGGCGGCGTTCGTGGATGAGTCATGTTCTCATTGTGGGAAGATGACCATCTGGTAGTTGCGGGCCAAGCTCCGTTACCTCAAATGGGGCGGAGCTCCGTTGCTTCTGCCTCGATCTATTTCTTGTCATGGCGGCAGTCAGGCAGGGGCTACTTCAGGCAGTAGCACGGGCGGTCTGAGGATAACAGTGATGGCAAACCCTCCAGGGAACCAACCCTCGGGGGACCATCGCTCCTCTTGCACTCCGCAACCAGTTGAGCTGCCAAAGGAACATGTTGGGCCCTCTACAAGGAGCGTACCTGCTGTATCCTTTGGCGCTCCTCCCGATGATCGGATGTCGATCGCTGCATCGGAGGGTGAGCCGGAGCTTTCTGGAGAGGAAGATGCGGCTGCGCTGCTGCCCTCTGGGGCTGTAGCAATGCCTGAATCAGATCCGGAAATGACGGCTATGCTTTCCCGGGCCGCCGTGAGGGTAGGGCTCGAGTGGAGACCTCCACCGTGTCCCGAGCCCTCAAGGTTGGACGATTGGTTCTTCGGGGTGAACAGCGCCCCAGCCTGCTCGTCGCCGAGGGTGGCCCCCTGCATCAACCCCCACTCCCACGCCGCATCCGCAGCAGCCTCGAGCAAGCGGCGCCATGGAGCTGGGCGTAGGCAGGCCTCCCCACCCGTCCAGGCCCCCGTCAAACCTGGCGGTGAGTGGAAAAGCAAAGAGGCCCCAGGACGGGCGACCCAGAGACAGAGGGAACTGCTCTTTGGGGGATGGTGAATGCCCCTCTCCCTCCCCCGGAGGAGGGCCGGGGGGAGAATCTGGTTTCCAAAAATCTCGACAAGAGAGTGGTTTTCTCTGTCTCTGGGTCCCAAGAGGGCATGGAGAGTCACGGATGAACCAACACCGGACCCCCGGACTCATCCTCCGCTCTCGCCAGCAGGCAGCAGCGGGCGTTTCGAGAGCGTTATCCATGGCCCTACTCACGCACCCTCTGCCAAACCATAGAACCAGGTAAGCGTTGTACCGCACACTCAGACCCCTCTTCTAGTTACTCTTCAAGATGTTGACGCAGAAACGCATCTTCGGGTGCATCCGTCCCCAAGATTGGTTTGCAGCGATCGACCTGAAAGACGCGTACTTTCATGTAGCGATCCTTCCGCACCACAGACCATTGCTGTGGTTCGCGTTTGAAGGACGAGCATATCAGTACAAGGTCCTGCCCTTTGGGCTGTCCCTGTCGCCCTGTGTCTTCACAAAAGAAGACATTCTCAACTACCTCGATGACTGGCTCATACTAGGTCAGTCTCCGGATCAGTTGTGCGAACACGGGGACTTGATGCTCTCGCACCTCAGCCGTTTGGGCCTTCGGGTCAACTGGGAAAAGCAAGTATGCGTTTCCCCCAGTGAGCTTTCTCGCACAGACACTGTGCAAGATCAGTGAGGATGAGGAGCAGGTCCTGCTTGTGGCGCCCTACTGGCCCACTCGGACCTGGTTCACGGAACTAATGCTCCTTGTGACAGCCCCTCCCTGGCAGATTCCTCTGAGGAAGAATCTACTGACTCAGAGACGGGGGCACCCTTTGGCACCCGCATCCAGACCTCTGGAAACTTCACGTCTGGTCCCTGGTTGGGACGCGGATGTTCTAGGTGGTCTAACCCAAGAGGTAGTAGACACCATCACTTCGACAAGAGCACCATCTACGAGACTCGCTTATGCCTTGAAGTGGAACCTGTTTGTCAAGTGGTGTTCTTCACACCAAGAGGACCCCCGAAGATGCCCGATCAGAGTCGTGCTGTCCTTTTTGCAGCAAGGGTTGGAGCGAAGGCTGTCTCCCTCCACCCTTAAAGTCTATGTGGCTGCAATTGCTGCGTACCATGACCCCGTGGAAGAGAAGTTGGTAGGGAGGCATGACTTGGTCGTCAGTTTCCTTAGGGGGGCGAGAAGGTTAAATCCTCCCTGGCCCACCACTATACCCTCTTGGGACCTGACTCTAGTGCTCACAGCACTACAGCAGGGCCCATTTGAGCCTTTGCAGACGGTCGAGCTGAAGTTTCTGTCAATGAAGACTTTGCTCCTGCTGGCATTGGCCTCCATCAAGAGGGTAGGGGACCTGC